AGTATCTGTTACATCTTCAGCACAGTGCCTACTATCTAGTAAGCATTGAATAAGAGTAGGTTTTATTAATATTAATTTTATTATATCCATGACTACTTAATAATGACTTTTTCTAAGGTCTATTTTATTTTTTTTCTATGGGAGAGGGAGAGAAAGATGAAGAAAAACAGAGAGAGAGAGAGAGAGAGAGATACCTCCCCCCCAATAGAGTCTTTATGCTGTGGTCCACCTCCAGCCTCAGCCAGCCCTGATCACGGGTACATGCACAGCTGTGCAGGGAGAACTCAGGGTGCGAGCCCTGGACCTTCCCAAGTGGGCTCAGCCTAACAGAGAATTGTGTTACAGTTGTGCTTCTGCTACTGGCCCTATTTAATAATGACCTTTCCAGTGGTCAGGAGACTTGTTATTCCTTTCCTCTTGTCTTTTCAAAACCTTTCCACTGAATGGTCTATTTCATTCAAAAGGGTCTATGTATAAAGTTTGTTCTCGGCCTTCATCTTATGCTCCTATGCACGCGTCAGCATCAGTGATTTTTCTAACGAGATACCCATTTCTCAGTTTTCACACACCGTCACAGTGTACCATTACACTTGGTTACCTCTCTGGTTTATTTGTTCACCCTTCCTTCGTCTTCTGGCTCTTGCATATGGGCCCTCTCAATATTTATATCCTTAAACTTTTCTTCCCACTTAACATTCTGTTTTCATTAATAGCCTTCATATTTATGACTCCCAAATTGAAATTTCAAATATTAGACTTTCACCTAGACTGAAAACCTGCAATCCAAACTCTGTTTATAATCTCCATTCTGTTACTTCCCAAGTCCCTATTCAACCAGGCTCATTCTTTTCTATGCAAAATTAATTCTTTATCAATTTCACTTAGTGACAATAGTGGTTTTCTAGTCATTCAGAGTAAGTCTACAGAGTAACTTTAAAATCACATTTTTTGGTGATTCCTGGTTAAAAGTAGAGCAGCTCCCTCTGGTTCATGAAAGTCATCTTCTTTGAATATCACCTATTTATAAGCTCCTCATGTTTATCAGTGAGGAAGAAAGAGATCTATGATTTCCAAGCTAGGTAAGAAAACAAATCAACCCTGGGGCCAGCAGGTGGCATGTTGGTGAAAGGGCTGGACTCTCACTTGGCCGGCTGGAGTTTAAATCCTGGATCTGGCTTCTTGCTTTTTCACTATCCCTTTCTCTGTCTCTGTCTTTGGTCAAACTGAAGAATAATGATGAATAAAATTAAATAAATAATTATTAAAATAATAGTTAAAGGAATGAGCGCACAGACTGAGTCATAAAGATGTTCATCACAGTGTTATTTATATGGATCATATAAAAAAATGTGAAATTCCCAATAGTAGGGCACTGATTGAGTAAACAATGTTTTATATATAAAATATGTAATAAGTATGTTGCAACAACTTAGATTTGATGTAGTAATTTATTCATTGATATAGAAAGATACTTATACACATGGTTGAGTGCAATTTTTTTAAAAGGTTGAAAAGAGGAGAAATAGAAGCCCAAGGAAACACACTAAGAACTATTATGTACCTCAAATTCCTACTAGTGGATTTCTATGTCTAATTTTTTATTTTCATTATGTACCAGAGAATACTTGGAAAAAAAATGGAAAAGGACTGACACTGATTTTAAATAATTTAAGGAGCACCAATTTCCATAGACTCATAGAATTTAGAAAAAAACATTAAATATAACATTATATGCCTCGTGGCAGTTGAAATTGAGTAATTTGCTTTATGTCACATAACTGGCTATGACAGATTTGAGGCTTCTAACATCATTCTATTAATTCTCACTATTTTCCTTTCACTGTCAACCTGACAAATGCATCCACTTTGTTTTAAGCATGTGTGAAGATTAATGTATACTCAAAGCTTAAGAATATTCACCTTTATAGAAACAAAATGGTACTTTAAAAGCAGCAATTCTGGAAATAATTTGTATTTTGTTTTGTTTTGTTTTGTTTTGTTTTGTTTTGTTTTGTTTTGTTTTGTTTTGTTTTGTTTTGTTTTGTTTTGTTTTGTTTTGTTTTGTTTTGTTTTGTTTTGTTTTGTTTTGTTTTGTTTTGTTTTGTTTTGTTTTGTTTTGTTTTGTTTTGTTTTGTTTTGTTTTGTTTTGTTTTGTTTTGTTTTGTTTTGTTTTGTTTTGTTTTGTTTTGTTTTGTTTTGTTTTGTTTTGTTTTGTTTTGTTTTGTTTTGTTTTGTTTTGTTTTGTTTTGTTTTGTTTTGTTTTGTTTTGTTTTGTTTTGTTTTGTTTTGTTTTGTTTTGTTTTGTTTTGTTTTGTTTTGTTTTGTTTTGTTTTGTTTTGTTTTGTTTTGTTTTGTTTTGTTTTGTTTTGTTTTGTTTTGTTTTGTTTTGTTTTGTTTTGTTTTGTTTTGTTTTGTTTTGTTTTGTTTTGTTTTGTTTTGTTTTGTTTTTTAGTCATTTTTCTGTAATGACCTTACTCACAAGCTGCTTATCTTTTCTGAGCCTTGGCTACTTGGTCTGTGAAATGGAAAGATTTAAAAGGGCTATTTCGAGGCTTAAATGAGATAAACTTTAGGCCAATCCTGAACCTATATATAAAGGTAATTCAATCGGTACCTATTCCTCACCCTTCCTCTCCCTCTGCCTGGTATCACTTATGAAAAAATTAGTTTGGTCAAACCATAAACCTGTTACAGGTTGAACTATGCTCCACTCACTGAAAAACTCATATGCTCAAGTCCTGACTCCCATTACCTTTGAACAAAAGTTTGTTGAAGCCAATCAGTTTGTAATAATTTGTTACAACAACCCTAGGAAACCAATGAACCTCATTTTTTTAATTGACTTGTAATGACATCTCTTAGGACTAATTCCTTAGCACCAGATCTTAGCAGGATCTGAAAGGACATTCCTTCCAATTTCAAGGGAAGAAGGTCCAAAGTCTCTTTTACCTAGTTAGGATAGTTAATATGTCCTTTCAAGAACAAAAGTAAGGTACCAGCAGTTAGCGTAAAGGCTATGTCTCTGGACTCCCATGTAGTCAACCGCAGTTTGCGTCCCAGACCCGGTGGCTTAAAACTCACGCTGGGCACGTGTGCGTGCGTGCCCAAGATCCCAAGAGGAGAATGGAGGAGAAGGGATTGCAGCATGACCATCTCCCCTGGGGGGTAATTTCTCACTTTTTGTCTCTCTGTCGCTCTCTGTCTGGCGAGCCCACGCGCCCTATAGCAAAAACATCTAAAAAAAAAAGAAAGAAAGAAAAATAATGAAAGTAAGAAGCCTCTCCTGTGTTTGTCATCCTGATTCTAGTCTTTAAATACCTTACTAAGCTTAGGCTATTCATACAGGTTAGAACAGACAGATAAAGGATAGATACATTGATAGACTGGTCAATAGATAAGTAATTAGGAAATCTCTATTTCTATAACTGTGTTTATATAAAACCTATATCATCTGTATCTAAATCTAGTTTGTCTTTTTTTTTTAGTTTATTTATCTATTTCTTCCATGAGCGAGGAAGCTAGAGAGAGACAGCACAAGAGAGAGCTAGGGTCTTGACACTGCAATCCACCCACAGTCTTTAGCCAGACCAGGATCACGGACATGTATGTCTGATGTATTCAGGGAGGTCTCTGAACTCAGAGTGGGAACCTTCCTATGTGGAATTACCTCACAGACTCTGATGTTTTGATGCTGTATCATTTTCTGTCTCTTATTCTTTTTTCTTTTAGAGAGATTTTTGCTATAGGGCACCATGCCCTCGAGAGGCAGAAAGCAAGAAATAACCCTACCCCTGCCCCAGGGGGATAAGGGGGATGGTCACATTGCAATCCCATCTCCTCCATTCTCCTCTCAGGATTTCATGCACACACGTACATGCACCTGGCATGAGTTTCAAGCCTACAGAACCAGTACTCGAACCATGGTCGGCCATTTAAGAGGCCAGCAACATAACTATTATGCAATCTGCTAGTCCCTCTTATTCTGTTTTGTTTTTTTGTTTGTTCGTTTGTTTGTTTGTTTTTTTAAAAACATCATGCTGCAAACTTTTTCCTGATTTTACCTAAAACTTGCTACAAACAGCATTTTAATAAAAGTATTCTGTGTTATTCTGTCATACATTCTATTTGCTATAATTTGCCAACCATTAACATATCATTAGGCAATTGATGCCCTTTTCCCTTTTTTGCCATATCTCTTCAAGTAATGCTAGCCCACATTTCAGAGTATTTCCTTGAGAGAGTATTTCCTTGAGAGAGTATATAGGAAAACTAATTACAGGCCAACGGTCATAAACTTTTTTTCCCCCCAGATTTTTGCCATAGGACTCACCGGAGGAGATGATGCGAGAGAAAGTAAGAAATTACTCCCCAGGGGATGACCATGTCACAATCCTTTCTCTCTCATTCTCCTCCTGGGATTTTGGGTAGGTCCAGGACTCAAACTGTGGTTGGCCAAAAGTCCAGCGCCTTAACCATCAAGCCACCCACTGGGCCCTATAAATATTTTTAATATTCTTAATATTCATTGCCAAATTGTTTGACAGAACAGCTGGTTATTGTTTCCCCTTTGGTTTCAATCCCAAGATAATTCTTGGTAGCAAAAGAGAGATAAAGTCATGGAAAGTGATGGCCCACTAATGTGTAGCTAACACGAGCAGGCAATGAACATCACCTTCCTGTAAGCTCAAAGCCATGTATGGTGCTTGTATAACAGGTAGACAAGTGAAAAAAAGTCTCTGGCTCACCATCGTTCTGGAACCCAGCATTTGAATACAATATAACCTCTAAAATTGTAAGTGCAAATACCGAGGAGAAGGCATTTCTGCTCTTGAGAATGCTATTGCTGACCTGCACACTCAAGTGTTTAGTTCGGAGATAATTTTCAATAAACTGTTGTCACTTGGAAATAAACAGTCTGGACAATGTATGGTTCATTTGGAATACTGAGAAAATAAACAACCTAGGACATGCTTCTTTCTTATCTTCATAGCCCTCTTTCGGAATGTCTCTCCAGATACTTCCATTTCTTCCTCAAAACAGAAAGTTTTGGTTTTTGGGTTTTTTTTTTTTTCCTTTTTAAAAATAAAGCTGTTCATTCTGCATTTCTGGGAGAACCTTTTTTGAAGGACCATAGCAATGAATGGCTTTGGAGTCCTGCTTCAAAGAAACCAGTTTGTCCTCCTGGTACTATTTCTTTTGCAAATTCAGAGTCTGGGTTTGGACATCGATAGTCGTTCTACCACAGAAGTCTGTGCCACACACACAATTTCACCAGGACCCAAAGGTGAGGAAAGAAAACTGAAGTTTTCATCTGTGATACATGTGATCTCTTTCCTCATCTCTCACCCCACTCTAGTTTCTCAATGACTTTCTCTTCTTCCATCCCTTATTTCCTCCCACTTGCCTTCTATTTGAAAAAATCAATAATCTGTTACTTATTTAAAGCTCCCCTCCTTTGATGTTAGCTAAGAGAATGTTGTGAGAGAGTGGAACCTACTGGGCAAGAAAGCAGTCTGAGGGAACTCACCCCAAACTGGGGGGGGAAATCCTTCTTCCATTATGCTCCCGGGGAACATGTAAAATCATTAGTCTTAAGGAATCCTTCTGTAAGAGCATCTCTATTCTTGAGGTGTATTTTATTCCACTCATTTCTCATACTGATTCTGGTCACACTATTTAGGCAAAGGTCAGTATAATGAACATTAAATCTTTAATGTATATGTCCTAAATTAATGGGTTCCAGGAGAAACTTTTGGGTCAAGGACTGGAGTTAGCAAATGAATAAACATGTCTTTACTTGAAAGTGGTCTTTGGGCCCAAGTGCCTTTAGCTGAAATGATAGAATATTGCTTTTTTGTTTTTGTTTTTTTCAAACAGATCCAAGATCCAAATAAGCTTCAAATGACTGGTTGGAAAAAGAAAATGTTTTCTTCCTTTCAGCTCTTACCCATTTGTTCTGGAAGTGGTTACTGCACTGCAGATTGGTGCTCCCTTATTAGTAATTCATGCTATGTTCCTTCAGGCGATAGGGTAGGAGAACTGTAGCTGCTTAAAATTTTAAGTAGAAAAAAGGGTCTTTCCAAAAAAAAAATTCAGAAATACATCATCGTATGCTTGCCAGTTATTTAAATGTGAATTGCTTAAAGTGCATTTTTCTTCATCAGTGAATTAATTTCCTCCTAAGATTGCGATCCAAGTTTTAACCTTTGATACCATAAAGTAAATGCAGCCAGAAACAATGAGACCTTGGGGCTTCCAAATAATTTCTTGGGTGAATAAATGAATAATGTGAGGGCAAGTGTTCAGAAAAGAAAGTTTCTGTTAGTAATAAACTATTTACTTAAATCACTACTGGACTTAAAATACAATGTAGGCAATTATGTATTATTTCTGGGGTACCATGCGGGGCACTAAGAAGGAAAGTTTTCCTTGTCTGTACAGATGAAAGAACCCGTTCGAGAAGAGCACCATTACACAATTTCCCTTGCAGAAAAACTATTAGTTTTAAACTGGAAGAAGAATGGATAAACTGTTGTTAAAATAGTGTCCGAAATATATCCCATTTCAATTCAACATAACTCAACTGTCATATATTGAGTACTTATTTTAAGTATCAAGCACTATTTTAGGCACAAAGGGTACATAATACATATGAGGGACCAACAGATGGCATAGCAGTTATGTTGCTGGACTCCCACGTGGCAAACCTGGGTTCGAGTCTGGGACCCAGTGGCTTGAAAATCATGCTGGATGAGTGTATGTGCTTGCCCAAGAGAATGGAGAAGGGATTGCAGCATGGTCAGCCCCCCAGGGGAGAGTGATTTCTCACTTAACCTCTCGCTGTCTCTATTTCTGTCTGTTTCTGTCTGTCTCTTTCTCTCTGGTGAGCATATGCGCCCTAAGGTAAAAACCTTTTAAAATAATTTATATACAATATATATATTTAAATAATATTTCATATATAATTCATATAATATATTCATATATCTATATATTTGTGCATATTTTAAAATATATTATATATTCTTATATATATATATGCATATATGTATATGAATGTCATGAGCAGTAAAAATATAAATGATTTAGGAAGGGGACCAGAGGTCAGAGGAGATTTTTGTAAAGGTGGTTATTATGTTGGAGTTTAGGTGTAATTCTTTCAGGCAGAGGGAGTACATTTCAGAGAGTAGATAGAGCTTAACAGGAAGAAGAGAGAATGAATGGAATGTACCTAGAAAAAGAATCCCATTAATCCTAGCTTTTGAGAGTTTACAAAGTACAGGCACATATCTTAAATCATTCGAAGAAAAAGGCAAGCAATATGCTTTTAAATGTGTTTTTAAAATCACTTTTGTTTCCTTTTATCACCTAAATTTATATGTCATTGATATTTACTGAATACCAGCAGGATGTTTACCATATGCCTCTTCACATTCATATATATATATTTTTTAATCTATCACAAAACGTCTCCTTTCCGGGACCAGCAGTTGGCGTAATGGCTATGTCGCTGGACTCCCACGTAGTCGACCACGGTTCAAGTCCCAGACCCGGTGGCTTAAACTCACACCCGGTGCGTGTACGTGCATGCCCAAGATCCTGAGAGGAGAATGGAGGAAGAGGGATTGCAGCGTGGCCAACCCCCCACCGAGGAGGGGTGATTTCTCGCTTTCTGTCTCTCTGTCTCTCTGTCTCTCTCTCTCTGTCTGGCGAGCCCACGCCCCCTATAGCAAAAAACCTCTCTCTCAAAAAA